AAGGGCTGTGCGGAAGGTCTGGAGGGTCTGGAGGGTGGTGAGGGTACGAATCTCCACGGGGAGATCGTTCCAAAGGGTCGGAGCTACTACTGAAAAGGCTGTCCTCGGCACTGGCTGGCAGATGGAACTCGGAGGAGGCCTAATCTGTGTGATCTAATCGGTCGTGAGGAGGTAATTGGCAGGAGGCGGTCTCTCAAGTACATTTTTGCCATGTAATTATTAATGGATTAAGGTGAGAGGAACCTGAAGAAGAAGATTATTGTATTTGGACTTCATTTCTTTTTTCTTTTTTGGTTGCAATATTGGGGGGGGGGTGTTTCTCTTTCTTTTTCTTCTCCTGCTTTTTCATCTCTTTTCCTTTTCCTTTTCTGGAGAGCAGTTTTTCTTTCCTCTCACTCTTTTTTGGGGTTTTCTTTTTAACCTTTTGACATTGTCCTCCCAATGGGCTGGATTAAATATCTGGATTACAACTATATTGGAGTATGAATCGGATGGATTATAAATTGCAAGATAACTACAAGAAAACACAAGATGAAGAAAACAACAGCACATATATCTTCAACACCTGCTTCGATTGCTAGCCCAGTGACACAGAGGACACTGAATACCATGGCATTACAAGAGAAAACCAATACTATGCAACAGGAGCTTTAAAAAGATGATAAAAGTGTTACATGAAGACTTCATAGAAAAGATAGGCAACTTGGGCAAGAGAATGGGAAAAGTGGGAGAGGAATTGAAAGATGTTAAAGGGATGATGGAAAAAATGAGCAAAAATACAAAAGGTGGAAGAAAAGGCAGAGTCAACAGAGAAAAGAGTGAAAGAGTTAGACAATAGATTAATGGCAACAGGTAGAAATCAGGAAAAACAGGAAAAAACAATTATCTCTTTAAAAATGGATAGCGCAAATTATTATCTCAGATTTCAAAATACGGAAGAGGAGAAAGGGGAAAACCTAACTGAGATAATGGCAGAGTGTTTGGCGGAAGTAATCGAAGAAATTAAAGAAGAGATATTAAGTGAGATTGATGAAATATTTAGCGTGCATACCAGATATGCAATGAGACATAATTTACCCAGAGAAGTTCATGTAAGATTCACCAAGAAAGCAATAAAAACAGAGATTCTGCAGGTATCAAGAAATAATCCAATAAAATATAAAGGCAGAGAAACAGTGGTATTGAAACAGATCCCAAGAAGAGTTAGAGATTTGAGAAAAGAGTACCAATTTTTGACAAAAAGTTTGATCAAAAAAGGAGTGAGTTTTAGATGGTTAATACCGGAAGGAATATTGGTGAACTGGCAGGAACAAAGACATAGATTAGATTCATTAGAGAAAGTGGAATTATTTTATGATCAATACTTGGGATCTCAAGAGGAAGAGAGATTGAGGGAGGAAACAGAGATTAAAAATCAGGAGGAATCTATGGAAGAAAAAGATTAACAAACAAGGGAGATGCTAAAAAAACGAGAGGAAAGAACAATAAGAAAAGGGTCAAGAATAAAGGATGCCAAAGATCAGAGAGAGCCAAGAATCACTAGATCAGCAAAACCTATTAACAAGTCAATTATGGAAGA